ATCATCAGAGGCCCAGGAGGAAACGGAGGCGGATATGGGAGAACTGGAGTGACTTCTGACAGCGGTGGAGTTCCCGGGCACTGAGATGCTTGCTAGGAGCCGAGACGAGCGATGACTGGAAGAGCGGAGAGACTTTTGGACGCTGAATGACTGAGGATTAGAAAGGCAAAGAGGGAAAAAAGTGACTTTGGGCGCACCATGCGACTTTGCGAAGAGAGGGTCCCCAGATGCGCGGGTGGATGGCAACGATGGGTGATGGATGGCAACGATGGATGGTTGGATTGTGGGTTGTGGATTGACGCGGGTGGACGATTGATGAATGGACAGCCGATGGCCCATACAAAAGATACGGAGAAAGGTACCTGCCTCCATCAGGTACATAGGTACATACGTACATCAGGGCGTTTCCGTCCTGTCAGTCAAGAGCGAGCCGGTGCAAGCGTGGGACGTGGAAGGCGCGGTGGGTTAAAGTGGGTACAGGTCCGTGGACGGTGGGTCACAGAGCCTGGGGTCGAGGGTACGTATCTCAGCGCAAGATGCATGTACCTTCCTCATGTTATTCTCGCTGATAGATACGGACTGTACCTTACCTTACGTAGACGATACGTAAGTACAGGTTAAAGTGCCTTACCTCACCTTACAGAAATCCGTACGGGCAGCTTGGCCAGGAAGAGGATAGGGACCTAGGTACTCACATACTCTGAGTGAGTCTGTGACGAAATCGGGTGCCCAAAGGGTCCAGCACCCAAGACAAATGCCCCATTACTTGTCATTTTTTGGTTTTGATCTTGAGGTGGCCAGACCGGGCCAGAGCTGCGAAGATGGAGTCTGGTGTGCCCTGTGTTTCCCGTCTGGCTCGTGTACCTTGACTGCGGTATCTTCGGCGAGTCGGGACTTGGGAAAGGCCATCCCATGGTACGTATTCGTACTGTTCAAGAAACGAGGATGGTGGACTGAGGACGTGACTTGACAGCACGGGGGCTGACCAAGTATTGGAGACGGTGTATTCGCAGGTGCTCTTGACCGACGATGAGGTCACGGGCTTTTGGGCGAAAAGGAGGGGGAGAGGCGACTATGACTGGACGAGACGGTGGTCGATGGCTGGGTCTGGGTCATTGCTGGTTGGACGAAAAAGGACAGCATCTGTAGCGGAGCGTCCACCAGTCAAAAACGGCTGACAGCCACTAGCGCAATCCGAGGTGTGGATCAGCCTCAGTTTTGTGACTCTCCGTTTCAATCCAACGAAACGGAGCCCCAGGGGACCTCCCTCTGTCATTCTGTCTTTTTTTTTCTGCTGTTCAGATGCAGCGTGAGAATCTGAACCGAGGGTACATGCCTCACCCAAATTCGACTTCTGGCTCTGCGGTCACCATTCGATTGGACCACTCACCTCCAGTCAGATGGATGGTTGACTGTATTAAGGCTATCATCCAGCCAGTCTTTCCCCTTCAAGAGGTGTGGTTAACCAGTCATGACCAGACTGCCAGGGCTGTTGCACACAGACGGTAGCCTATGAACAGATGCATTTACGATTGCACACCAGACGGCAACTGATACGCTTCTCGCATGTGGTACAGCACAAACGGGGGTGAACGGATGGGGCTTGTAGCCAGGTGAGACGGTTCTGGCCTTGGCTGATGATGCTGTCCCTGACTGGAAAGGGATCCCACGTCTTATTCTCCCCCCCCCCCCCCCAGAAGAGGAGGGGCTGGAGTGGGTGTGATGTGCGGCGTGCCCAGCGGGTAAGGCTTGTTGTGGATGGATGACCACGGTGACTTTATTGCTTGCTCGTCCATCGGTGCCACCACTCTGTCTCCGGTACTCACTCCGTGCCGCACTTGTCGTTGTTGAACCTCAGACATCGTCTCGTCTTTGGGTTTTTGCACTTCCACGGGCCGCAGCTTGAGTCTGTTCTGTTCGACCGCCTATTCTTAACCCCGGAAGGACAAGCGCACAGAGACCTAAAGTCCGACGTCTGTCAGTCGTCGGAGCACCGTCGTACCCGGCTTGTCATCGGTCTCGTCCTTCTCTGCGTAACCCGCCGTTGAAGTCCGTCCCGCCGCCTGTCTGGAGACTGGCATTGACCGGTGTCTCGTCTGTGTCCTTCTCTCTACTTCCACGGCGGCGGACAGGCCCTGTTTCCCTCTCTGTTCGACCCGCGTTGTCCGTCGCCCAAACGGGCAGCGTACAGCAGCTTGCGGTGGCTTGCTGCAGCTGTGGTAGGCGGCCGCGGGGGCGGATTGTATAGTAAATGACTGAACCCCCCGGCGGAGCTGAGCCATGATACGCAACGCCTGACGTATGCGGGACCCCTGAGACCTGCCCGTATCGGTGGCTATAGGCCGTCTCGGTTTCTCTCGTGCCTTTTACTGAATAGAGGTCTCGCGTTGTCGGGGAGACTTGTTTAGCTGGCAGGCATGGTGGCATGGTTGATATGGAACCGCAAGAGGTCGGCCACGAACCGAACCCTTCAGGTGATGAGCGACAGGGACGGCACATGGGCTCCCGTCGTAAAGTCGATCGCTCATAGCGGCCCTGGATACGGTGAAGGAGAGTACCGATGGTGGGGTGGTTGGGGAAGGAAGATCGAACCCAAACGATGGCAGCAACAATGTACTTCGCCTTGCTCCCTGCGATGTAGGAGATACAGCTTCAGCCCGCCAAGTGATGTATGTATCGTGCTAGAATATCTTCCAAGATCCAAGGGGGCCATCGCGCAACTTTGACGAAGATGCCGACGACAACTTCCACGCTGCGCCTCGGCTGGAGGAACCGGAGAATGGGGCCAAAGATGACGATGGATGAATCAACCTGAATCATTCTAGCCTTCAGCGCCTCCCGGAGGGGACGGGGAGTTTCTCGTTGACGAAGGGGAAAAACAAAATCTCTGTTTCTTCGAGGGGCAAAAATACGGAAGCGCGGGTTTCGCGTACTTCGTCTTTTGTTCGCTGTATCCATGAAAGCCGAGTGCAATGCTGTGGTTGTACCCGCGAGAAGCTGGCAATGTCGTTGGATGGGAATTGATGAATTAGGGATGGCATGGCACCGTAAACGCTTGTTCGCCCTGTCGATTGGGCAGCGGCAACACCAACACCCAGGAGCACTTGCCTGGCGCCTGGTACCAGCATCAGGGAGGAAGCACCAAGGCACCTCAACTGCACTGCAAAGTGCAAGCAACAGCGAAGGAAGGCAAGAAGGATGTGGCAGTGGGCAATTGGAAGCAGGCGATGGCTCGTACGTAAAGTCGTGGGTACTTTGCCCCGTGAGGGGTTGAGGGGCGATGTCCACGTACCGTCGACAAGAGTACTTCGGACTTTGGTCGACCAAGTACCTCACTCCGACGTTTGTCGCGCACCGTTCATCTGCTCCTCCCTTTAGTGGTTGAGTGGCAACAGCGCGGCCTGTGAACACAAGGTGGCACCTGGCATCCGTTTAGCCTCCAACGCTGCAGTTGGCTGCCCTTTGAAACGTTCGTCCGTTTTCAAGCAGCAACCTTGGTTGGAGAGACGCCAAAACGTCCCGTTTCCCGAGGATAGCGCATCATGAATGACAAACTCAATCAACAACTTAGGGGATGCCCGTTGGTGCTTAACAAAACGGCTCTTTAGGTACACGCTAAGCAATCATCTGTCCGAGTCTAAAGGGACCTTGGCTGATAGTGTAATCCATCGTTCTGCGAACTGGAGGCTGTGTTCCTCTGGTCTGCTCGGCGAACGCGAATCTGAACCTCTGAGCCGGAGGCTTTCGGAAAGACAGTTGCGTTGCATCAAATCAGTCTGACCATCCGGCGGGTTTCTGAATAATCTATTTTCTTCCGGCTCATGCTCCAGTAAGGATACCTCAATTGGAAGCTGGTAGAGCCATCAGAGCCATATTTGGCAGCATGGAAAACACGATTTCAAACGCATCTGTCAGACGTTGCTGAGGTAATGCCCAGGTCTAGTTGCCCGGCAGGGCCATGGAAGCGAGCTCCTCTAGCCGTACCTGCTTTTGCTTGACTCCATCGGCACCGCCCATTCGGCTTCATGACACGCACTGCGGCGATTGTCTAGGGCCATCTGGCGGTGAACAAACACCTCGTTTGACTACCGTTTGCGATAAAAGCGGGTCTTTCGGGCACTTGGTCCCCGTCCTCCGGTGCCGTGCCTTCCTCCGTCAACTCACGACAGACCTGACTCTGACTCCTTCCAGATGGAAGGTCCCCTCTCCTCAGGAAGGAGGTACCGAAGTACGTACCCTTTTTGCTTACCTAATGGAGGCAGGTACCTACGTTCGGGAGATGCCCAAGGCCTGCGAGGACCTTCCCAGTAGCGAGCACGACAAGCGCAGCAAAACTTGAGCTGTCACCGTCTGACCAGAAGCTCACCGTCTCCCCGCTAGCCCAACCACCCACCCCTCCCTCCTCCAACTCTCTCCCAACCCAAACCGTTTTCTCTCATCGAGTTTTTGCTCATGGCACTCGATCAATTCGATGCCCAACCTCTCATCCGTCATCAGTCCACGGATACACAAGCAGCCCATGGAACGAAAGGGAAGAAAAACCAAGGAATGAAGCCCAACGGCGATACAACGATGATGGCGACCAAGTAGTACAGATGACCAACTACCCAAACGTATTTCGTGGCCTGGTCTGGCCTCGCCATGATATCAGACGTACCTGGCCACAGCCAAAGAAACGTCGCCAGCAAAGTCATGGGGGCGCCGTACCCCGGGTCGATATGCCATACGAGGCTAGCCAACTTTTGCCCGTGTCCATCAGCTATTATTCGAGCTTTCCGCCGGGAACGCGCAAAGACAATGGCAGGCCACTGGCAGGCCACAGGCCACACAGGCCGCAGGCCGCAGAACAGACGGCGCCACATGGTCGTGATCATCTTGCGAACCCCCAAGGGGACTAGGTAATCAACGACAACCATTCCACCGTGCCCGCTTCGTCTTCTAGCTGCAGAGCCTAGAAAGTGGCAGACGAGACGGGACGACAGCAGACTTGCTCTCAGCCATCACATCTCCGGCTTCCATCGACTTGGAGCAACGTCATCCTCGAGAACAGCAAGATCGCAACTAGCCTGAGCATCGTCAGCCATACTTAGCCCTACGAAGGATCCTTCAGGTCTGGGGAGACTTACACACCCTCTCAGAACTGGTGTCGGTTCTATCTCAAACGCTTGCCTCGGAAAGCCCTTTCACAGGCCTTTGGCCGACATTGTTCCAACGTGCTTCCTTTGCAGGTGCATCCACAGCCGTTTATTACGCATTATTATCTCTGCCCTGCATCTTTCGGCAACGATGGCAGCTCATAATCTGACGACTTACTCGCAGTATTCGCATAGTATTCGTCAATTGCCAATGGAGGCCGCCAGAGTTTCGACATTGGCCTGTGGAGTCGTTAAAGTCGCTGGGTTCTTTGCCCGCTACCAAGGCCGGCATATCTGCAATGTCTCCGAATTCGCCCTCTAGCTCGCCGTGTCATCCAATGTCTATGACTGAGCCAGAGACCGGCGGCCTTCCAGGGTCGCAGTCAACCAGTAACGGCGACCACCGCAAAGTGTGTGCATGACTCCATCCACAGTTCCCAGTCGGGCTCTCTGCATCAACCATCACACAATATCACAAACCATTCGACTTTAAGACCATTCGACTCTCAGGACATGTGTCTTAGCATGCCATCTTCCATCCTCCGTGCTGTTGCATCCCACGCCTTCTCACTCGTGATGAGATCGCCGTCACTACGCGAGGTCGCGTGTCTGTGACCACCAGGAAGATCGGAAGCAGGTACGAACTCTGAGCATCACAGCCCCCAATCTAGAGACAGAGGCGCCCCCTTCTGGATACTTTGTGGGTGAGGGTGAAAACGGCGACCGACATGTGCAAAAACAAGAGTCGCAATTTTTTTCGTCCCCTTCCACGTGAAATACACCTTGGACTTGCACTTCTACTACATAAGGAGGGGGTCCGGATCCGCTTGTCATTGGTCCAGGAGGCCCAGGAAGAAGAAAAAGAAGACTGTCTCCCGCGAACAAATCAGACGAAAATTGGAACGCCCTCTCAACCAGTCAGACAGAGGCTTCATCTGCAGCTAGACAAGTCACAACGAGTAGGAACCCATGGGCGGGAGATTTTCCTGGAGTAGGTGCCGCATCGAGGGAGATACGGTGCTCGAATCATGCTGATCGAGATATCCTGGCCAAGGGCATGAATGTCAACGGATAACGACCTCGAACCGCTCTTTGGCGTTGATACTCGGGGGTTATGACAGTGATATCCCAGGCACGAGGGGTAGTGAGTGGCTTCTTACCCCTCAGCATCATCACCGAGCTTGACACTTGCTGTTTGTCACTGGTCCTTGGCAGTCAGTCGGTGGTGAAGGGGTTTCACGTTTTAGCGGTCAGCGCCGTCTGGGCCAATAGTTCGAGAGGAACCGAATCGTCCCGTCTCGTCCTGTCTCGTGCGCGAGCGGGCCTAGGTCCGTCTTCTCCACCGCGGATGATCAGCTGGCTGGTGCCGCACTGGTGTGGATATCCGACCAAGTTTAACAGCTTCTGTTAAGGCATTTCCTTGTGAGGCTTCGGCATGGCAATCCGTTTCTGGAGCACTCAGTCTCTACTTGTAGTATCTCCAGCACGGCAGCGCCAAAAGCTGCCTTCAGCCTTTGGTCGATCACAACGCTTTCATCCCTCCTTGTTGTGGGTTGTAGCTCGATCGGATTGGTGCGGGGCAACGAGCGGCCGTCAGAGATGCAGCAGCCTGCTCGCCCTTGGGGCCAACATGAGCAGTTTCTGCCAGTCAGTCAGACTATCGCTGAGTGTGTGAGGTGAGACTGAAAAGTGAGCGGCCAACGACTTTGAGCTGCGGAACATACCGGTACGCGTCTGCTTTGGATCACCATTTTCTGAGCAAAAGAACATGCCGTCCGCTTCGCCATTGCCGAAACTCTTCAGGGAATGGCCTCCAACGCTCCCGTGAAAATCTTCAGGAGAAAACCGCTCAAGTTGCGCCACGACAACCGGGAGTTCCCAGCAAACGTTGTGCCAACTATGTGTACCAGTGACACCTTGCTCCAGGGGCCCGGCCGATAGCCTATCAACGATGAGATTCGCGAAGTGACTGCCGGGTCAGTTGGAGGGAGGGAATTTTCCCGTTTCTGACCACAAAGCGGATACCGCGCCAACAGATTCCCATTCACGTCTCCAATGACAGCCGCCGGTTACCACCCTCAACTTGTGAAGGGCATGGGATGCCATCCCATCTCTAGGAGTAAAATCCAGGAACTTGTCTGCGGTCGATGACTTTGTCAGTCACCTTGTGGATAAGGTCGATGCATCTTGCAATGCCCAGCTGGCGATCTTTCCAAGGAAACGGCGTTGAGGAAAGAGGCATTTTCGTCGAGAATAGGACAAAGCTCCTGCGTAGGCGTAGGCTGAAGCCGGTCCATCGCTAGCTTGCTAGTCTGCGGTTGTCATGGAGCCTGGGCTGTGCTCGAGGTCTATTTTTTGCTGGGACATCGCTGCCTTTTGTGGCGGTGAAGTGCTTCTCGACAACCTTGGCCTGGACAGCTCTCTGATTCCTTACTACAGCTTCCATCCTTGCGATGAGCTGTTCAATTGAGGAAATTCTTGGGCAGCTTTGAGGTCCGAAAGCCTCTCTTTGATGACAGAGTTTCACAGACGCATCCAGACTTCATCAATTCACAATCTCGATGGCAACACCATGATGCCTCCAGGTGACCCTCACGAAGAAACGTAACAGAGTCGAGAGGGGGGATTGAGGGTCTCATGCGCGGGCAACCCCCACCAAGCGAATCGAACCCCGCGATTCCGATCCCATCACATCACATCATCCCACCTGCGCACAGCCGCCGCATCTGATACTGGGCTTACATTCTCCCGCCCGTAACCCCCCTTCTCTTCCGACGTTCACGTCTCCCCCCTCCTTTCTAGAGTGCGTGAGCGCCTCTTGTCTGAGAAGGTCTCCACCGCTGCGTTTATTGGGCGTTCGACAAGCGCCGAGCTGCACGTCTTCACTCCCTCTCCGGTTCTGCATGTCCATTCCCGCACGCGAGCCCGTCTCCCCGGTCTGAGAGACCGGAACATCTACCTTATTTCCTTCTTGTTGCCTTATAGCCTGCTTCCACATATGCGTCTCCTCTCCAATGGTCCTCGGGATGGATGATGGACATGCTGCTTCGCGAAGCAGAATTGACCAAACACTGAATGGAAGAATATGCCCCCTCCCTTTCCCATCCAAGCGCGGCGGTTGGCATAGCTTCCAGCCAACCGGCTCCTCACGCGAGCTGTATGACTGACAGTACAGAGGAAGCATATCCGAGGGGTGGTCCTTTTTTACGTAGCATCCGTACAAGTGTACGCTGATCTTCGCCCCGGGGTTATGACTGGCTCTATCTATCCTATCCCAACGACAGGAAGGTTTCCCTTTCCAAAGGGAAGCCTTGCAGTAGAGGGAGAGAGAGATAAAAGGCATGCGTGACTGGGGAATCCGGCATTCTTGTATCGCTAGACTCGGGGCCATTGGTCGGCGGCACGGGATGGACATGCGGTATCAGGCATCCGGAGCCGGATAGATGGCCAGACGGGGCGGCCCATCGAGCGCCTTGCTTTCATCTGCTCCCACCTCTTTGGGTCATGTTGTGACGATGGTCAATGGTACTGGCGGGCCGTCTGGGGGTTTTGTCAACCCTCTCATGGGCGCTAATGGGAATTGGTTATGGTGTAGGCCTGTGAGGTAACACAGCGGCCATCCTCCAGATGGCCGCGTTCGCGACCTACCTATCGCTGAGCCTGATCTGATAGACAAGAAACCCCGTTGTGACGTGTAAGCACACGATGTATCGGAAGACAGACGGGAGGAGGGGAGCAAGAATTACGAAGCACGAGGCGAAAGGGGGGTTTTCCTGCGCCGCAGAGTACAGAGTCGAGATGCAGGCCTGGGGCGCGGGCGGCCAGGCCAGAAGGTCAGGCCAGGCCGCTTTCCCTTTCCTCTTCTGCCGTCTTGTTGTTTTCCTGAGCTGTCACCAAAGCCTATTTGGTCTCCACTATATGTCTTTTGTGTTAGGCATCCACACATGATTATTCAATTTCCGGGCCAATAGGAGGATCAAATTGAAGTGTTGGACTCTGGAGTGTATCGATTGGTAGGCGGAGAGAAGAGTGCATTGGGATTGGATGATGGTCGTGTGTGGTGGGTGAGGAGCGTTGAATTGGGAAAGTAAGCTGAGCGAGGATGGTATCTGAATGTGACGTCTGTTTTCTCTGGTTTGGGATACATTTCATGGACTCTGAACCATGGGACTGTGTTGAGCGTGTCGTGTCGGAGAGGCTTGAAGGTAAGGAAAGGTGAGGACTCATGGGCCTGGGGGGCGAGCCCAGCTTGTCTTGCTTGCCTGGTCTTCTGGGTGGCGAGGCTGGGACCGTCTTACATCAGCTTTTGGGGAGGGATAGGTACTCTGCAGGTAGGTTTCTGAGGGTTGTGTCGTGGGGGAAGGGGGATAGATAGATGGGATTGATTACGGATATTTGTTTTTCTTACATCAGCAACGAAGGGGTTGTAGGTAGTTCGTTTGCAGGCGAGAACCGTGGCGGATGTCGTCGGGTTTGGATGTTGGTGTCGGCCTGGCCGACGTGATTGCTTTTTGCAGTCGTCAAACGGATCACGTGTGTGTTTTACGGCTATTTTGACATGAGACTGAGAGGGGAGGGCGTTGTGGTGTATCATTACGATGAGACTTTTGGGCAGGGCTTAATGGGAATCTGAGAAAAGCTTTGAAAAGGTTCCCTGATAATCATTGGGTCGTGCGGCTGTCGGTGCCTTATGGGTACTTACCCCGTGAACAGTGCAGCAATGTGCAAGAACCGTGATGGTGTGTGTAGGTTAGGATCGAGTCCAGCCCGAGTTGCACTTTTCTAGTCCCGCCTCATTGGGAAGGGTGGTGGGAAAGATGGCCAAGGGAGAAGGGGGGCGTTCAGGCTTGGTGGCTTGGTGTTTCGGTGCCTGATTATCAGCGCGTATCGGCGTCTGAAGCAAATGTGTAGTTCTGCCATGTGTGAAGGTGTGCAAGATGTAGGAGGCCGAAGGAGAAGTGTAGATATGGATGGCTAGTGAGGCAGATGAGGCAGATGAGGCACCCCTTCGATGTTGTGAGGCTAGCTCCTTGAGGCTGCTTTCGCGTGATTGGGTCGTTGTCTTGAGCGAGAAGGATGAGGATGAGGATGAGGCTCCGAGGCAGGCCTGTGGGATGGACCGAGAAGGCGGGATACAGCTTTGGAAGTCAGTCTGCCCGTTTGATAGGTCACCCTCACTGGTCGTTTCCTTTCCTCAATCTCATGGACCTGGTTCGCCTTGTTATGGTTACAATAGATGAAGTAGCTGACAAAGGGATCACGAAGGGAGACGGAAGACTTGCCGGACATTAC